TAGGACTCCTAAATTTATAAAATTACTTGTCTGAATGACGTGCACTTGTTTTGTTTCTGTTTGTGGAGGTAAATATGAGCCCTTAAGTGATCTTTTATGTAACAGTCCTACTTGTTTTTGTTTGTTGCCTAGTTTTCCCCTTTTTAACACCATAGGTGAGTCTAGAACCGCCTTAAATAGAGGTCCTAAACACCTCTATGGCCACAGGCAAGGGACGAGTAATGCACGCATAGGGCACGTATCGGATGTTATTAGAACTCTTAGGTAATAAACAAAAGGGGAAGGGTAATTGGGTAGTAAAAGGAGATGATGCCCTGTGCGCTAATGCTATGTGTAGCACCCCAACTTGGGGACGATTACCAAGTATTGCACAGAAGTGATCCTATAGGCTAAAAAACCTAGGACCCCCTTTTACTCCTTGTTTTAGAAATAATCTCTATTTGTTTAAATTGCTTTGTTTGTTTATAAGACTAATTTACCTAATTCGGGTTTGGCCGGGACCCATCGTTGTGGACCTCGAGGGGTGCCTAACACCTTCCCCTCAAGGTTATTTCGAGCCCTTACCCAATCTCTGGTAATGCAAACTGGTTTATGAGTTATTTTCTATAGGTGCCCTAACACACCTTAAATCCGTTAGGTGGCGACTCTTCAAACTCCATACCCCTTCCAAAAAAGGAAACGAATTGTCCCAAAATGTCGAAACCCGCATTCCACGAGTAAAAAGGGGCGTGATAGGGTAGACAGAACATCATCCATTTCGTGAATCCATGGCCTGTCGAGAATCATATTGTAAGCCATGTCCATTTCTAAATTTGGTGTTTTTGACTACTCCTTCTGCAGATGTGGTGAGTATTATCTCCCCTTTTGTTACGACTCTTGAGTTGTTGAAACCAGAAAGGGTGCGTGCCTTGGGTATCAACTTGTCATCGGCTTGCATCTCGTTTACCACTCTCATCAGAATGATATTCACAGAACTACCTGGATCAATCAAAACTCATTTTACATTGGTATCATGTACAAGTAAACATATTACCAGTGCATCATTGTGTGGGGTCAGCAAGCCATCTGCATCAACATCATCAATTGTTATACTATCTTCTTCCAAAAAATCATGAACTCACTTCCCGTGGGTGACTGTGATTTTCGACACCTTCCTTGCTTCCGTTTATGCTACGCCATTGATCTCCTCTCCTCAATTTATGACGTTAATTGTTCGTTTCGGCGATGGAGGTTTCGGGAGTTCTTGCCTATTCTTCATATATGCCCGCTTTCCCTTTTCACTAAACAATTCTGTTAAGTACCCTTGCTTTAATAGATGCTCAACTTTACCTTGTAATAATCTGCAATCCGCCGTTTTGTGACCGTGGTCGTTGTGAAACTCACACCAAAATTCGGGATTCCTCCTTTTTGGATTTGATCTCATTTCTTTTGGACACCGTACCTTATCTCCCATGCTTCTTAGAACAGCCACTAATTCGGACGTGCTTACGTTAAAACTGTAACCACCAATTTTTGCTTTTGAACCTCTGTCGTCGTCTCGCATGTCCCTCATATTTTGCTCTTTTCCGAACCTTGACGATGAACCTGATTCTCTCTCCCTTGATCTAGAATCGTACCTTGGGTTTACTGTTTTGAACGCGAATCTCTTCCTGCTGGTCCCATATACGGTTCGTACCTATTTTTACCGGACCTTTTTTCAGTTTCAACCCGCCTTGAACTTATTATTTCATCTTTCCGAGACTGAATAATAGTATCTTCTTCTATCTGCAGCTTCGTGCTATATCTATTGTAAACATCATTCCAAGTTGTTGCAGGGAATTCTCGTAAGCTTTCTTTAAGTCTTCTTGTGGCTTCTGAGCTTTTTTCATTCAGATTACTAGCAAAGGCCATAGCCGCTCAGTTATCAGGTACGCGTGGCAGCAGCATCATTTCACGTTGGAATCTGTCTACGAATTCCCTGAGCACCTCCGTATCTCCTTATTTTATTTTGAAAATGTCCTCCATTCTTTTTTCAACTTTTTGAGCTCCCGAGTGTGCTTTGATAAATCAATCTGCAAGCTCAGCAAAAGAATCAATAGAATTTTCGGGTAAAAGAGAATACCATGTTAAGGCTCCCTTCGTGAGTGTTTCTCCAAATTTTTTGACCAACACTGATTCGATTTCTTGCTTGGTCAAATCGTTGCCCTTTACACCAGTTGTAAATGCAGTCACATGATCTCGTGGGTCAGTTGTTCCATCGTACTTCGGGATATCAGGCATCTTGAATTTCTTTGGGATTGGTAAGGGAGCAGCACTTGGCTTCCAAGGTTGTTGAGAATATTTTTCCATATCTATCCCCTTGATTACGGGCGATACTCCAGGTATTTGCTCTATGCGATCGCTTTGTTCCTTGAGCTGTTTCTGCAGAGTTAGTACTAAACTTTGTAAATCAAAATTCACTGGGTTACCTGACTCTCCATCACGAGATTCTCTGGGCGTTCCTCCGCTGCCTGAAATAACGAGTCCCGGTCGCGGATTCTCTGTGGTTACATTGTTGTTTGGAGGTGGAGTTGGTGGTACGGTTGGCAACCTGCTAGCAAAAGCCTGAAGAGCATTGCTGACCTGTTCTGCAATTAATTGTTTTACTGCTGCATCGATATCTTGATCTTCCCCATGCTAGTCATTCATATGCGATTGCGATCTGTCAGGTGTCCCTTCACGAGATTGTCGAGGAGAGTTTTGTGGTGAGGAAATTGGAGTTCCATCTCCTTGTTGATTTTGCTGATTCAAGTGTTGTTGTTGATTTTGTTGGTTGATGTCGTCAACGTTCGACATGATATTTTGACAGAAGAATTGATTTAGAAAGTAAAAGATTATCAAATTCCCGGTAACGGAATCAATTTGTTTAACCAAAAAATAGGAAATCGGTCAAAGCGTAATTTTAGAAGAACTCGGGTTACTGATAATCAAATAAAGAAAATAATTGTATAACAATAAAAGAAAATCAGACTGAGAAGTAGTCGAATAAACAATGTAAATAAGTATATTTCAATAATAATCAGTGTCCTCATACAAATGTTATTTCTCTCCCTTTTATAGCTATTTCCAAGTACAATGTTTCTTTCCTTTCATAATAAAGCCATTATGAGCATTTAATGACATTAATAAAACGTTATAAGTAGCAATCGTAACTATTTCGTGAAGATTCTATATCGTTTCCTATCAATTACGCTTATTAATTACAGACATTATGAATCTACACGTTTTATTGCCTTGGTTCATTCCACCAGTGTCTCTTCAAATTATCAAGAGGCCCGGGTGACCGTTCCTTCTTGTCTTCATGAGCCCGTACCTAATAAGACTCGTGTCTCTTTAAGTACTCTTTGCCAGCTGTCATTAATAAATCCACGTGTCTTGACATGTCAGCCACGTAATTAATTCTAAGTGTAATATCGATTTTTTCCCAATACAAACTCCGAGGGATATGATTAACATTTGATACTTCGGCAAGTACTTTGTCATTTGACATTGATGCATGTGATTGAGGTATGTACAAAATTTCGTTGTCTTGCAATCTCAAGGTGTATAAAATAATTTCACAATGACTACAGCTAGTATGTCTTCTTCTTGCTCTTCTTTTGTAGCAAATAAATTGTAATTCTCAGACAGAAAATAAGAGTTCCCAAAATTTCAGAAAACATGAATATCACCACCTCACAACAATTACTTTTGAATCACCGTTAGTGTGTGTTTCATGAAACAAACAGTTTTTACAATGCCACCATTTACATAGAGATTTTCTTTAATATTTTTGAATATAATATATAATTTTAATACTATTGAACTTTATATTGGTTATTTTTCAAATAAAGAGAAAGTATACATATGAGAATTTTTTTTAGTTATTTAATATTCAGATTTAAAGACAACATCTTAATAATTCGATATATATACTGAGTTTTTGGCATCTTAACCTTAAAGGAAACAAATGGTGTTTGGTCAGCCACTATACCTAGTCAATGGATGATTAATATAACGTAAATACAGTCAAACTTCTCTATAATATTTTCTTTTGTCTGGATCTTTTTTTTCCATTATAACGATTGGCTGCCACACTCGTGTAATAATATTTTGTCATTTAGATTTTATTTGAATGTTATAGAAAAAAATTACCAAACTTTCTTTTTTCCCCCATATTTTTAACTTTTAAGGCATGAAAGATAATAAAATTCATTTAAATTTAAAATCTCAAATGATATTCAACTTCACGAGAGCTTTTGCATTCCTCGTTAGAACTTACAAAATTTAGTTATGGTATGTCTCTAATGAAATATATTAGTAGATATTTTTGTTATTATAATTTAATAAACACAACAAATATATATATATATATAATGAAACGTTATATAAACAAGGGCGAATGCATCTTTAGAAAATCAAGTTCACCTGAACCCGATACATTCGGTGCAAAATATAAATTTGTATATAAAAATTTACTAAAATTGCGTTGAATAGTAGATATTAAGCTATAACTTTAAAATTATAATAAATTCAATGCTAAGAATCTTCAAGGTTGAATCCGTAGACCGTAATCCTGGATCCGCTCTGATTACCGAGGGTCGCTACACAAAGGTCTGTAATGGGGAATCCACATTAATAAAGTTCCTTAAATTATCTCATGAGATTTCATGCTCTCTATTTAGGAAAGAAGTTCGTGAAAAATGAAAAAAATTCTTTCATTTACCAAAAAATAAATAGATGTCAAAATCTGGTCCTTTTTGCAATTATGGAAAAAGGAGAAAAAAGGCAAAAAAAATCTTATATTAGCTTTATTGAGAACTAATTCCTTCCTTAACTGTTCACACTATTGTTTTACAAAGAGAATGGAATATCTACAATTAACTCAGGGTTTTCTTCCTGTTTTGACATGAAATTGATGATTGTAAGCAGTGGTAGACATATATATTTCGCACTAAGTCAAGCAATTAGAAAAATAACTTCCTACACTAAGTTCTATACCAATGGAGAACTTTCTCTATATTCACCTTTCGATGACAATTATTTTCTCAATTCTTCTTGTTGTTTTAGGCAATGAAAAATCTTTTTCACCCCTTAACTCCACTTATATTAAGCTAGCTAAAGAAAGATTTATGTCTCTTGATCCGACTAAGCTTCCAGATCCACCAATGCCATCCTATACTTTTGTTATTTACCATCGCGATGTATTTGAAAAATCAAAGTTCAAGGGCTATGATTCATTGATTGAAAAAAGGCTTGCGCGATGTCATGCTAGAGCAAATTCTTTAGCATCGATTTTTGAAATAGGAAATCGGACTGCACGAGGGAGCAAGATCAGCCACGAAAAGGTTCCAAAATCAACAAGCACACATTACGCAAATGGTGAGTATGTTGCATCTTTTATGCTTGGCAGTCAAGAAGTTAAAAATTACTTGCTAGTAGACACCGGAAGTGATTTAGTTTGGTGGCAATGTGGACCATGTGAACCAAATAAGTGTTACGAACAAAAACTTCAGCCTTTATATGTTCCCACAAATTCAAAAGTATTCCGAAAGATAGATTGCTTTCTACATAGTGAAAGATGTTTAGATGATCTGGACCTAAATTATAAGTGTACTAGTGATCATAGTTGTACCTACGATGTGAAATACGCGAGTGGAGAAAGATCAAAAGGATACATGGCAGATGATGTGATTACTTTTGTTTTAGACCAAAGACCAGTTAGGATTATATTTGGATGTGGCCAAGATCAAACAAATGGAACTGCTTTTAGTGGTGAATTTTCTGGAGTTGTTGGCCTTGGGCGTAGAAAAATCATTGGTGGATATTCTTTACCAACACAATTTGGAGCGGACTTAATGTCCATGTGTCTCCCACCATATTATTCAGCAAAGGAATCTACACTTAGCTTCCATAAAACCATATTTCCAAGAGCAACATCAGCAAAACTAATACTAAATCTCAAGTATCCTTCATTTTATTTTGTCGACCTTTATAAAGTTTTCATTAATGACAAGGAAGTTCAACTGAGCCCGTCATGGTGGAATTTTAGAAAGGACTTGACTGGTGGGGTCCTCTTGGATACTGGAACATTTATTTCTCGATTTCCTCAAGAATTTTACACTCTATTTCGTTACGTATTTAGAGAAGAAGTACGAGATATTCCCCTGGTTGATACTCCAGCTGAACCTTTTGACACTTGCTATAAAGCGGATCCGAGTCGTGAAGTAAATTTTCCTGTTGTGAAGCTGTACTTTGGCAGCGTAAGCCCGAGTACCATGTTGTTACTGGTAAATGAACGAGTTGTTGTGCACTTTAATGGACAATATTGCATGGCTTTTTTACCATGGGAAAGACCCTTCGCAATATTAGGAAGTAATCAACTTCAAGGTGTAGGATTAACTTTTGATACTTCAGCAAACACTGTGTCCTTTGATATAGATGCATGTATTAAACTATGATGCCCTAATTTTATAGATATGTGACAACTGCCCATTTTAATTAGTGTTTCAGGTTTATATATGATAAGGCTAACTTTTCTGCAAGTTAATTTTAAATTTAATAATTTGAAGCTAGAATTGAAAAGCAATTGCTCTTAGTCAATGGATGCTTAAAACAATGTGAGCACTAAAGCTATATATATAAATAAAAACTGCAGATGTAAATATCACTATCAGAAACTGAAACATTTTGTAACTTTAAATCGCCACAAAAGATCTTTCGAGGCGAGGTTATGGGACCTCAAAATTGCCAAGACGTGTCAATAGTCGCCACAAAGGAGCAAATGATTATAGAAGAGGTAGCAACTAAAGAAATATGCATCTGTGGCGACACTTATCGCTATCGATATTTTTTGGAAAGTATAGTCGCCTAACTTTTGGTGGCGCAACTGAGATCGCCCCAAAAGCAAATATACAACACAAACACACCCAAATATATCTCATGCAATAGTAAAAGAACCCAATAATACGTTAGTAGACACCAAGTAAATATATTTTTCTCATAAAAATAGTCACTACTAAAAACATGATAAAAATCGACGCTCAAAACCTACCGTGGTTTATTGGTATTTAAGGAAATCGAAAACCGACAAAAAATGGGAGGTCACTAAAATTTTGGTCTTACGACACACGACTCAAATAAAATTTAAAAACATCGACTGACAATGGTTGGATTTTACAAATTTTTTAGTTTGAAATACTGCAACCGACCGACTTCGATTGATATATTTTAATTTTCAATTGTTGGCCAAATAAAAGTTCAGTATTTAATAATATCTGTATTTTTTTGGCCAAATAACCGACTAAAATTGGTTGGTAATCAACAATCCTGGACTCTCTATTTTTTTTTTTTTTTTTTTTTTTGAACAAATCGGATTATCTCCTACTTCTACTGGACCAAAATTATGTCTTTGTGAGAAAAAATTGATTTTAGTAAAGCTTACAATTAGGATTCGGCACAGAACATCGTCAGTGAAGGTGAGTTGTTGTTGCTTATCCAAACGGCTATATTAGCACTACTTTCGGTGGCAACTAAGGTTACGCCACAAATGCCATAACCAAATTTTTTTAGGGAAACTTACACAAATGTCCCAAATAATTCTCAACTTACCAACCTCTAGCCATTAGTCATAGACTTACCAAAACTAGCCAACAAAAATTGAAAAACCAAATAATAGGGTTCTTTCTCTCAAAGAATCACATGCAAAAATCACCTTCCATATTTTTAAGCGTGATTAGCAACATTAGATACAAGACGGAAAGGAAATTTCATGGACGGGGTAGCAAATAAGGTGATGAAATATAAAAATCTATATAATATTCCAAAAATCTAAACAAAAAAGGAACTTTTTCCATGGGTATAGTTGAAATTCATTGAAAATGTATAGATAAGTCAATATACAAAATTTGAGGAAGATTGGAGGTGATTTGGACTGGTTTTGTATCAAAATTCGTAATTAAATCGAGTTCAAAAAAGTCTTCTGCGACACATATATCAAACATGCGTGAGCGACACATGTATCAAACATGCATCACGCATGTATCACACACACAGGTATACATGGATATACATGTGATACATAGTTGATACATATGTGATACACAAATGATACACAGTGTGATGCACATATCATTTTTTTTCATGTTCAGCTTTTACTTCGAATTTTCAATTCAAACCACCTCAAAACTTTACCAAATTCCCAAAACTGATATTCAAGCTCCTTAAGTTGTGCCCAATCTATTCTAATAATACCCACTCAAAACAAGGCAAGAATTTGATATTTTTTGCTACAAATAGCTAATTGGCTAATTTGGCTAATATTAGTAATATTTTATCAATTGGCCAATTTTTATAATGAACTACTTATAAATGGACATAGCTGGTAATTTCCCATTTATTTCATGTAGTGTTCTAACATTGATTCACATGAAAGTGAGTTGTTGAAGCAAAGTAGATTATTCTTTGAAGTATTGATTTTCTCATAGATAATATTGTGTAATCCAAATCATTTTCAGTTTTTTAGATATGATTTTTGTAAAAAAGTTTCAACAGGGCTTGGACCAATGTGAATGTGCATCTATCTCTGTTACATTATTATTATTATTACTATTATTATTATTATTATTATTATTATTATTATTATTATTATTATTACTGTTGTTGTTGTTGTTGTTGTTGTTGTTGTTGTTGTTGTTGTTGTTGCTGTTGCTGTTGTTCTTGTTGTTGTTGTTGTTGTTGTTGTTATTATTATTGTTGTTGTTATTGTTATTGTCGTTGTTGTTGTTTTTGTTATTGTTGTTGTTGTAGAGATGACAGTAGCCACAAAAAATAAACAAATACGATTTTGCGAACTTTTGGTGGCGACTTAGTGGTCGCTCTAGAGAGCTGTCCCTAAAACTTACGTCGCCGCAACAAATGAAAATAGTCTTAAATCGTAACAAACTTGAAAATGAGTTGTTGAAGCCAAGTGTATTATTCTTTAAAATATTAATTTTTTTCATTGAAAATATTGAGTAATCCATATTTTTATTTTTATTTTACATTTAATTTTGTGAAAATTTGCCCTCCAATGCTAGGACCAATGTGAATGTGCATCCGTCAATATTGTATTGTGTAAAATAAGAATAAACAATGAATTTTATTATAGAGATCTGATTCTCTTTGACAAGCCATTGTGTGAACACTAGAGAGAGATGTGTCCTCAATATAGGTTACAAGAAATTTAGTGTGTAAAATTTTTATTAAACTGTAAGTATATATAACTTAATCCAAACAAATAAAGAACTTAAATAGAATATATCCTTTAAGATTTCACCAGATTTATGAATGCTCTGTTTACGAATGGTTTTCTAGCAAAATCAAATATTTTCTTTCATTTGGAAAAAACTCAAAAGGTGTCAAACTTTGATCCTCTTAGTAATTATATAAAAGGAAAGAGGGAAAAAAATTTAATATTGGCTATATTAAGAACTTATCTTTTCCTAGTTGTTCACACTATGGCTTCTCTTAGAAAAACTGATCTCTATAGTTAATTTCTTTGTGTCTTCCTAATTCGCAATAAAATTAATCGGTTAAAAATTGATGTTTTCTTTTTATTTTTGCAAAAAAATTGAATAGGTTATGAGAAATTAACACCAGATAATACATATGATTGTAATAGGTGGCGGACTTATTTTGAACTAATTTAAGCAATTAGATTATTCTTTAAGGTATTATTTTTCTCATAGAAAGTATTGGCTAATCGAAATTATTTATATTTTACATATAATTTTTGAGAATTTTCCACCAAGGCTTAGACCAAGGTGAATGTACATCCATCCTTGTCACAATATTATTATTATTATTATTATTATTATTATTATTATTATTATTATTATTATTATTATTATTATTATTGCTTTATTATTAGCTTTTGTAGCGATGTCGGTCACAACAAAAAATAGACAAATACACCATAAAATAGGTTTTGCGTGCTTTTAAGTGGCGGCGGTCGTCACAAAGACTGTCACTAAATATAGGTTGCTGCAGACTGCAGTTGTAGCGTGTAGAACTACAGCAGTTGGATTGAAGGCAGCTTGTGAACCAAGAAAGGAAAAGAATAAAGAAAAACTAAGCAAAACAGTAATTGGGATTCATAAAATCTGAGTGCTGATTACAATGCATAGAAATAGAATATAAAGATGATAGAGGCATAGTTGTACTGGCCATTGGTACCTAATGGACAGGTGTCCTTGATTCATTAGACTGTGTACTATAGACTAAATTGTAATATTGCTAAACTAGGAGACTATAACATAAGGACTGATAAACAATTATAATTAACTAAGGAGCCCTTCTCAATTCCTTCTTGATCTCTAATTCAAAATATGTCACACTAATTCGTGACAATTCCACTCCCCTTAAGGAAATCCATGGCGTCAAACATCAAATCCAGGAAACTCTGATTTGAGGAAATGATAATCCTCCCATGTTGCTTCTTCTTTTGAAAGATTTGCCCACTGGACAAGCACTTGGACAGCTGCTTTGTTGCCTGTCTTGATCATTTTTCGTTCTTGAATAGCTATGGGATCGGTTAGTATTTGTCCTTCATTGCTGCAGTAGGGAGGGTCCATGGAAGGAAACACTTGATTGCCAATCTTCTTTTTGAGTTGCGACACATGAAAGACAGGGTGAATTTTCGAACCCACTGGCAGCTTGAGCTCACAAGGACAGCTCCAACTTTTCGACTAACTTCATATGGGCCAAAAAATCTTGCTGATAATTTAAGGTTCATCCGAACAGCCACAGACATTTGTCGATAAGGTTGAAGTTTTGAGGTTAGACCATATCTCCCCTACCTTGAATTTCCCCTTTCACTTCCTTTTTCGAATCTGCAAATTTGTTTCATGCGTATTCTGAGTCTTGGACCAAATTATCCTTCAATATTCGATCCAGTAACTGCCTCTCTTTCAATACTTGATCCACAGATTCCACCTTTGATTGTGCAACAAGCTCGAAACTGGGAAGTGGGGGGTCATAGCCATAGAGGGCCCTGAAGGGTGTCATGCCAATAGCCGATTGGAAGTTTGTGTTGTACCAATATTCAGCCATAGAAATCCATTTCCTCCAATCCTTGGGCTTGTGACCAGTCATGCATCGTAGGTAAGTTTCAACACATTGGTTTAGCCTCTCCGATTGGCCATCAGTCTGTGGATGATAAGCCGAACTTAGGCATTGCTCTACCTGTAATCCTTTGAACATTTTCCTCCAAAACAAACTAGTGAATATGGGATCTCTGTCAGAAAGGATGGATTTTGGGACCCCATGTAGCTTGCAAACATTATCCAAGAATAATTGAGCTACCTGTGAAGCATTATAGGGATGAGTTAGAGTAAAGAGATGTGCATACTTTGTGAATCTGTCAATAACCACAAGAATTGTATTCTTTCCAAAGGAGTTAGGCAGGCCTTCAATAAAGTCC